TATCAAAAAAGCAAACCGAGGAGACGAAAAAATTGCGAACTGTGTGAAAAGATGTAGGCAAGAACAGAGTCAGATCGTGTTAATGTAAAAGTAGGAGATAATTATCGAATAGAGGACCAACATATATTGCACTTGGGTGCACCAGCGATGAATCTACTAGAAGAGACGGACAAGAATAGCTAAATTTGTATCAAATAGGAAAATAGAAAAGATTGCGAAGCTAATTTCCAAATAGACTTCTACAACAGCAGCAAGTCATGATCATGTTCAGAATGTCATCGCGCATCTTCAACAAAAATCTTACCCTATATCTCAATGTTCAAGGAGTATTGATCAAATATATATAAATAACGCAGAAAATTAGAAACTCTTCAATTTTTGAACTATTTCCCAGGGAACGATAGTTCTACTACCAAACTTTGCTTTAAACCAATAAGCCTATGGATGGATGCTGCAAGGAATTGCGACCAGAGTTCCGGACAATGAATCTACGCATGCGGAGATTGTATCTACCTGAATCCGCCTTTCTATAGGGGAAAGAGATGTGCCAGGCAGCCGAGAATAATCCTGATCTCGACATTCCGAAATACACTTTAGCTGCATAATAAGGTGAGTATAATAAGGTGAGTGGAGTACGGCGCAATCTCAAACTCCGAATGCTCAAAACGGCACATAAGTCGTATGTTTCAGCTCTCCTTTTGACATGACTAGCCGAACGACTACCTCACCCCTTCCTCTTATTTATAGAATTCACCGAACGATACAGCACGAAACATTTCCAAATGTAATTACGAAGTCAGTTACGAAAAGATTTTTGAACTCACTGAAACTGAAACCCCTTATAGGAGCAGTAACCTAAGCGACGATCACCTCAAGGTTTAGTATCATAGCTCACAAACAACGAATCCATTCACCTCTCCCCTCATCTCAGTTGCATTCTGCACGTGAAGTTGCAAACTTTGAGATGGAGGATTCCTTCGCGTGTGATAGGTTCACGTGACAGGTTTTTCACAGCCTTCCATCGTTCATGAAGAGCAGCTATTAAACGGCAGAGGTCTCCAAATTCGCCACACAGAGACTGCCACTAACAGAAGAGATCGAGCTCATAAGGACATGGAGAGGGACAGAAAGAGTTCCCAAGTTACATGAAAACTAGATGAGAGGAGATCGCCGAAGCCGTAGTTTTGTAGTGGCTTGAGATAACTGAGTGGTAAGGATAGAGGGGAAAATAGCATTGAAAGAAAGAAATCCATAACGTGATCAAAACCTGCCACTATTTGTGAACTGCGAGCAGTAGAATGGAAAAGAAGGCTAAACAATACAAGTGAATATAGTATCAAAACAAGACACTGCAAGAGACTGAAAGACTTCGACAAGCTCTTCTTGAGAAGAACCTGTTAATGTCATAGGGAGTAAGCCGCAATTTGAAGTAAAATGATGAGCGTGCAAAACTATCGCTTCCATGCCTAACAACAATTGATCGAAAAACGACTATAGAAAAGCTGAACCTTCAAGAAACTACATGGATAATATTCGAAATCATCTCATATATTGTAATTCCCCATCAAAAGGAACTTTGGGTAGAGAAGAGAAGCGTAAAAATCTACTCGGAACGAAAAACATATTTGTGAGGCGGGTTGAATTCCTCAAGGTACTAAACTAAATCTTAGAAGAAAGTCAACAAAACTGTGTGCATTCTGTGAACCTTTTTCTTTCTTTCCCTAAACCTTCAGCAAAAATAAGCCCTGTTTTACATGGACATAGGCGGTTAGCGACTGAGCTGAAGGAAGTTGAAAAGACAAAATAAAACTAGGTGTACAAAGAGTAAAATTAGACAACAGTGCACAAATCCTTTCATAAGGAGTTATTTCAAAGTGGAAATTTAGTTGTAGCAGAATAGAACTGTAAACAAAAATCAAAACGAAGTATTGCACAGAAATAACACTTGAGCTCCCTGATTCAACCTCCACTGCAACTCCTTAGAAAGCGTTTGCCTATTCATTTCACCCCTGACAATGAGATGCTGTTTGACAGATAGGTCGAAATGTCTCTGATTTCGGGCGAAAAAAACGTTCCGAATGGCAACTTCTGCAGCAATTGAGACTAACCTCGGCTTGGGAAGAAAAAGAACTATGGTACTAACGCAAATGGATGAAAAAATTGAATCATTTCTTCCCAGCATATATAGTAAAATCGGTGCAAGAACAAAGCCACTTACCAAAACCCTCGATGGCCCTTTGGATGGAGCATGATGAAGTAACGGGACGTGGTCATCCTCCTTGCCTTTGCTTGAAGGGGAATTCATGAAACAGTTCGAAATCCTGGAATGGCTTGAATAATTAGACGTGAGAATTGTGATCAGCAACGAAAGCGAAATCAATCACGTCAGCTATCGGGAGCACGCCTGGGATTGCAATGAAGCACCGGTCAATAAATCGCGTAAATAAGAGAGGACATGTCGCCATAACTGTCATGCGTTGGCAATGCGGTTAGTGGGCAGGCTGACACGAAGCGGGATGTATAAAAGTGATGTTTGACCTAAACCATATGAGCAAACAAGCTCCACATCACCTGCCAGCTAAGATGACAAGCTAACTTTATGAATGTTGCTTAGTCTACTTCCAAAAAAAAGCGTTACAACAGTCGAAATCACATTCATAAGCAAATTTGTTTTCAATTATAAAAAAGGGGTAAGGAGTTCTATCGTTTTCAAATAAACACACTCACACAAGACCCTACTGTAAAACCTAAGTTTGAACGGTTTCATCTCGCGTAAGAAATACACTACATCACCAACATTAGAAAACAGGGACGATCAAAATTCCTCTGTTCAAATTTACAAATGGGCTCAGTTGAAAGGACGAAAAATGCCAATAGAATAATGAAAGCATGAAAAGCTAAAGTGTATGGCACTCGGAATGCAGAGCAAGTTCGACTTCGCCTCGAATTGGGTGCATTTATAGTGCCAGCGTAGAGTGTCAGAACGTAGATAGGTGCTCTTTTGCGCAGATATCTACGTACAAGCGTACAAGACTAATGTCAGTGAAAGCAGTATTTAAATACACACGTGGCCCATTTCAATATGACTCAGACAGATAAAGCAATGCCTAATTCTGTATATTATCCTCGAAATACTCTAGCCGTTCAGGAGATAGCAAATTCGATTGAATAATATGGGGTTGGGTCCAGGTGTAGGACAACGGACCCATGCCTTTGATATAATCTGGTCACCTGCAGAAAAAACACCCTAAAACATGAAGTTTACAGCGTGAAGTCCCTGGAGTGGAGCGGGACTTGAAATCGAGATCTAAAGATAAAGAGGTAAGTAGGGCCGAACGAAACTGAAGGAAGATCAAAATCTGATAAAAATACTTGCGGGCTTCAACATATAGAAGTGGAAACTTCGCTCGGCACTGCAGCATAGGAATTAATCCAAAATTTCTGGATGAAAAGAAAGCTTTCAGTTCACTTTGAAAGCGGTAAGCTTCCTAATCTTCTCCTGTCGCCTTTATTCCCTCTTTAATGATATTAAGAACTACCTTTCAGGCTCTCTGAAGGAAGAACAACGGCGCTTGAATAGGACTTCAGAGATTTACACGATTACTCCACCAACCGGTTCTCAATGCCAGTCTCTTGCATCCGAGCTAAACATGACTCAAGAAACCATAGATAGCAGCAGAAGTTCTGCATTAAAAATAAAGCCCCAATCAGTTTCGTTAGCTTGTCACCACTGAGTATGCACCTAGACCCTCTTTGAAACAAGAATGTCACTTTTCTACAACTTCTGCTTTTATATATAGAAAAAATAGACACCGTTTGGCACCTGCATCGACTAAGTAGAACACCTCTTTCGAAATCCAGACAAAATAATCAATTTAACAATGACCTATAAAAGTTTGACTTAATATCGGTACCGGAAAGTCTGGAGCAAGCAGGGAGAATTTTCCTGCCACCGACTGCAGACTATGACAGACGCTATTGCGAAAAAAGCTGAAGTTTTGAACTGTAAATTTTAGACCAGCTTGCGCAGTGAAGACACCACTGAAAGATAGTTGGAATGCTACCATCACCGTCGGGCAGAGAAATAAACTACTGCATTCCGAAACTGCTTAGTCATTCAAAAAATCTTACTTTGAAATATGGCTGTGCTCCCATATTCCTGAGCAACATTAAACGAGTTACTCCAACTGGCAGGTTTGATCCCATCTTTCCTTATGATTGAAAAGAAACCACAGGGATCACTTTCGTTCAACGCCTGAGCCAACAAACAGGAAAAAAGAGTTCACATGCCAGGCAGGGAGTAATACAGAACAGAAATGGATCAAATTTTTTCCTGGCAATTTGCCCACAGTACGCTGCAAGATATCGGTCTTTTCCGCTAAAACTGACCAAAAATGTTGATCCTTCCGATAACCTCACTTCAGAGATAATTCACGAATATAAGACAGACTGGTACACTATGGCCTTTGTTGACCGAGGGACACGTTCGATTAGTGGCGTAATGCCACGCGCGCAGATTACAGCTACCACACAAGAACCGTCCCTCCGTGACATTCGCCTATACCGGGGACGAAATGAGTCATGTCCTCTTATGCTGACCATTTACTGGACAGTTGAGACGAAAAAAGAGAAAAAAAGTAGTGTACGAAGATCAATCTGGAAAATGCTGTCCAGGCTATGAAATGCTTAATCAACTGGGTGAGTAATGAAAGGAAATGGAAGTGCTATGTATAACACCCATTTGTTTCGAAAGCAATCACGTCTTCAATGGTATGGGGAACAGGGAACGGGCAAAAACGATGTCATTTGTTAATGATGTTGAAAATTCCAACAATTCGCTCTCCTATATGAAAATATCGATCGACTGAGTAACAGATGCAAACGTGTGTTGCTGTTATAGCGAACGAAAGCATTACCACAATATAATTAAGATTTATACATACAATTCAAACAGTAACAAAAACTGATGGGAAGGCAAGGAAAAGAGATCATGGATCACGCTACTGATTCAATTTGACGTAAGGATTTGTTACCACTACTTCTGGTGTAATGCCCAACACCTTCACACAAGATACAAACTTTTTGCGGTTCTGTTGACACACTGGACCACACAGACGACCTGCAATCAGAAGTTCGAAATCATTTTGGTTCAACACATGCCATTTAGGCAAATAATGCAAGAAGGATTCCAGAAAAACATTATTTTTAAGGATGTTTCACAAACGAACCTCCACAATTCGCACACGGCCAATGACAACCATGACATTCTGGAATCAAGCAATCACATAGAGTCATGCTTTCTTCACCGGGGACTACAAGTTTCCCTTTTTTGTCATGGAAGACATGCCGTTTTTCTTGAGTTGACTCTTTATCTTCTGCAACAGCTCGAGCTTAAATATAGAGAGTATTAATTTTAAGATCCAGCTGACATTACAACTTTACACCAGAAGCAGAAAGGAAAACAAGGAATTCGAAAGTACAGTCATACCATTTATTTTCCTTCTTGATCGGCGAGTATTAGTTGGCTGTGTCATTAGTCCACCCGGATTTACAAATTGAAGTTTCCCTAGCTCTCGCTGCATTTGCCTTTGACGATCTGCAACAACGATTCGTTGAATATGAAAATCTGTAGCACAGGCGTACAATGGTAATAAAAATTATCTTTTAAAAGGAATAAAAAAGGAAAAAAAATTTAAAATTTATACAATATGAGCAAGGAATCGCACTTTTGCATTTTTTTTTCAAAAGATGCCTTGTTCGCTTCAAGTACTAGGAAATACTTTGCACACTTCAAGTACTAAAGGACCATACATTTAATAGTAGAACCACAAAATTTGTAACATGGTATAAAGGGTTACGGTTCACCACTGAAAGTTTGTTATTTTTGCGTATGTGTATATCCGAGGATCTTCTGAAGGCAATATTGACTCTTTTCTCTTTTTCCAGATTTCTCGCATTTTTAATATGCATTCCAGACGAGATTACTGGTAGCTGGTCAATCAATGAGTACTAACAATAAGTTGAAGGAAGAGGGGGTAGGATCGAAAGTGACAAAGAATTGAAGGCCCACCGCATAGGTGATTGTATGAGTGTGTTTGCGTGTTTAAGCAGAAATTCATGACTCAAGTTCCACTCCCCTAGGCTGAGAATGCTCAAATTCGGGAAGGATACAGGTGAATAGGTATGAATAGTGCTGGCGAGTGGCAGGAAAATAAAGCAAAACCATCGGATAAGTTACACCCTTCGCCTTTCCATGGAGCTTGAGCTCTAGTGAGTTATATGAATAGTGACTTAGATCACGATCCTAATAACAACCGATGAGGACAATTGAAGGACAATAGAAAGCAAAATCCACCAGATCCCTCCTGCGATAAAGACTTCGACACTCTAGTCCGACGTGACATTTGGTGGGGCTGAACGGGATTCTGGAAAACTAGTGTCAGACAGTATTAAGACAGAGCTAGTAGTTGATTGGCGACTAACCGCTCTGGATTCCCCTTAGGGAGAGGGGATAGGGGGAAGCGGAGGGGGCACACGAGACAGTGCCTGTACAACGAGAAATAATGTGGTGTTACGTGTTAATTCGTGTTTTAGTAGCAATAGATTCGGAAGCGAAGAGGGTATGGTCACCGGCTATCTGTGCGCAGTTTTAGCCAGAACGATGTAGATTTTTATGATTATTTTATTTCTATGAAGCCTCAGGAGGGTATGACTCCTGCGGTGGGAGAGATCACATCATGCGAAAAGCTGAAAACTAGGGTGAAGTGTAGTTGGGGGAGGGGGCACACACAAAAATGACAGCAAACATTAGTAGAATGTTAGTAAAACGAGAAATTAGCATGGCGCTACGTGTTATTCCATGTTGTACTAGCGCTGTATCATATCGGAGACGGAGAGGAGCGGCCATCTGGGTGCTCATAAGAGGTTTTGCCTGCGGGGGATGTAGTTTTTTTAACCAAGCCTTAGAAGCGTAGGTGCACCAGGGTGGGTGAGGTGTTTTCATACGAAAAGCTGGAGCTTGCCAACCCCGAATCTCCTTCCCTCTTGAGGCTTAGTTGAAAAGTTGCACGACCCTGGTGTAATATGGAATAAGACGTGACGCCGTGTTAATTCCTTATTTACTAACACTGCCACGTCTACCCCCACCCCCCTCCTACATTTTCACCTAACTCGTCCACCCCAGAGCTCCTTCCTTCTTCCCCTCTAAAGCAAATTGCATGTAGAACACTACCAGCTTCCCCACCCCAGGCGACATTTTCACTAAAAAATCCTATAATGACAGAGCCTTGACATGATAGTATGCTGCTNGAAAAGGTAGCTCAGAGAGGGAGAGTCATCGAATGCTGAACGATTACGCTTTTGATGTTAGCATTTTAGCATTCATGCTCAATGCATTGTGGGAAGTGCGGCGGAAGATGGTTATAATATTGAAAAGGACTGATAATACTGATATCATATGAGGTCTGAAAAACAATCTATTACTTGGGATATCCACTACCACTACGCATTGAGCGCTAAAGACCCAAGAAGGTAACATATTCCCCTTTATGACGATGACAGTACTAGAGATCTAACCGCTCACGAAATCTTTACGAAGGGACGAGTATTTCTGAGGATAAGAAAAGGCAACAGCTGATAGGATAGCATGGCTGATATTGCTCTAGATATTCTTCAACAACACTAGCAAGCAATTCTTCAGTAGAACGTAGGGTCGGATAGGCTTAAGAAGAAGAAAATACAAAGTCGACAATACAAGAAATACTCTTCACAATAGTGAAGATAAGCCAAATAAAGTGTTTTTTTTTATTTGAAGGGCTAATCAAGGAAACTGCAAAAGAGAATGCAGGAATTGCTCAGGTATTGTAACTTTGTCACTAAGAGGAAGAGTCCTGCGCTAACTAAGCAATGAGGCTGGGAAAGTGACCGCGATTCACACATTCTCGAAGCATCAATTGTGCTGCATTGAACGTATCTAACGACAACTGACAACGAAAACCTACTGAGTTCATCTTGCGATATAGGAATACCATCATCATATCTTTCGTCGAAGTATATCACATTGGCTGAGCTTGAATCTTGCCCACTTTGGTGTAGGTCATGATGTTGACTGTCCTAAAGAAAATACATTTAATAAGCTCGAGAATTCATATTTTCGGTTTTCATTTGATTTCATACTCTGCGTACCAGCAAAAATTCTAAATGTTCCCGTGCTGTATAAAAGATGGATACTGTTTTCACGACACTACCACATCGAAAGCTGAGAGATTGGCGAGAGACTCTTAGAGTGAGAAGGAATACTCCCGAACAGTTGTAAAACGAGTTCATTTCAGCGGAGTATAGTGTACTCCCTTAAGCACGTATTTCTCGTGGATTTCACCAAAGCCTAACCTCACGAAAAGGTGGATTCGTAATGGCCAAGGATTATTGTGCTGCTGATTCATTATTACTTAGCCATAGGAATTTTTTCACTCAATCGTTACATCAACGGGCGACGAAATCAGACTGATTGGGATTTCATGCCAGCCAAAAAAATTTTTGGTGAAAATGTAGTTGGGGGGGGGGGCCACCCATCCGAAGGCCAGCATA